TCTTATCGCGTGCCGTGTCGCAGCGAATTCTGCCAGCACGATAGCGCTCGCGGCTCTACAGTTAGTTACGCTTACGGTGCTCGATTTCTACGCGATACCACGCGAATCGAGCTGTTCAAGTCGCTAAGCATGTAGGCAGAAGCTGCCTACCGCGCGCAATTCCCCGCGATCGCCGTTTTGGCGAATATCACTTTTATCACTTGGAATCGACACTCCCCGCGGCCGCGCGCTAATCGAATCGCCGTCCCGCCGGGAATTTTTCATCGATCCCGCGAACCCGCGGATCACGTCGCGTGTGGTTGTGTGGAAATGCTTGACCTCGGTTATTGCGACGAAAGCTCGTTTTATTATTTACATAGCGTCGCTTTTCTTTAAAACGTGTAAGATCGATCACGGCGGACGGAATAACTCGCGTACAATAATAGCGTTTCTGTATTAAGAGACTCGAGCGCGCGATTGTCTGATTCCTTTTTTCTTCCTTTCTTTTTCCTTTCTTTCTTTCTTTCGTTCTTTCTTTCTTTCTTTCTTTCTTTTTTCCCGTTTCTCCCACTCGAGACACGGCCGTAAGCGAATCCTCGGTTTCGCATATGTCACCTGCTTATGTTTAAATTAGAATCTCGTCCTTTTTAGTTGAACGTCAGCGTCGAGCTACGTCAAGCTACTACCGCCTAATCCCGCTGCGAGATCTTTATTCAAGATTTCTGCGGCGAGAGATACATCTCCCGCTGAGGACCGTCGTTTCGGGGCCATTTTCTTCTTCCGCAATTGGCGCAATTCTCGGTTCAAGCGCGAGCGCGAACAGGTGTGTCAGAAAGAAATATTCGCGACCCTATTTGACCATTATTTCTCCGCTATTTGGCAAGGATACGCCGGCGGCGCTTCTTGTAGGTGGTGAAAAACCTTTCAAGGTTCGACCAGTGAGAAACTAGGTCATCGCGCTGCTATCACCACAGCGGCACAGTAGGATTCGTCGTTCTGCAATGTGCACCCTAGCGTGAAGGCACGGAGATATAATCTGCCAGCCGGCGATAAGACTTCGGAAAGTGACGTTTAAAGGTTACGAGCTTCATCCTCCCCTTCCATATACACACACGTATACATGTATCTTCCGGCTCGCGTGCTTACAGGGGTTTTTCGCACAAGGTTGAGTATGAGAATTGCAATTTGTATCCCTTCAGTGTTCATTGTAAGTATCATGAGTTTGTTCATGTACAGGATATATCTGAACTCTATCGGCAAACTTACAGAGCAGGTTCTACGCTGAAAAATAGGTATTAGGTTGGTGCAAAAATAATTGCGGTTTTTATCGTTTTATCGCTTGGCGCTAATTTTTCTAGTTACCGTTATCTTCTCCAGAATTCTATCTTGTAGGAATAAACAAACTTGTTTCCCGTTGGGAAAAATGTGTGCGGGCCAATGGTCTTTATTTTGATTAATAAATATAATTTAATGATATATGCGTCCATATACTTGATATATAAAAATTGATATATAAAATATAATATATAATTGATATATAAAAATGCAATTATTTGTCTACCTACAACCTAATAAAGAAAAGACATATTCGCGGAAGCTTGCTTTTTAAGAAGGCTTGAGCCTTCAAAAGATGACAATAACGAAAGAAAATGTGTCGCGATAAGTGGGTTAAAAATGTTAACACAACACTTTTTTTGCTTGATTTTGAGGATACCCATTAATCTTTATAATTTCTGGATGTTAACCGGGGAATCATTAGTATATTTTTACTGTTTGTCGTCAATAGCATTAAAAAACGTATTATTTCCTCTTAATGTCATGGATACTTATAATAGTACGTGTTTAATTACTTACTTGTATATAAAACATAATTTAATGGGTAAAATATATTAAGATTATAGAAATTCTATTAAAAAATGGTTTCCCTCTCTCCTTTATCAAGAAAACTATGCAATCTAAACTATATAAACTTGTTAATATTTGCCTTTTTTTTTAATTTTTCCCATGGCGTGTTTAGAAATTGTTGATTTATCGACAGTTCTGTTCAGCCAGAGCTGTTCAGCCAATTGTTTTTCCGTTTGAACGGTGTTTTCACTCAATAATGCTTGCAATTCAGAATTTTTGAATTTTTTGGTTCATCAGTACGTTTTTTGTCACTCAAATCGAAATCACCACTTTTGGATCGTTGAAACCAAAATTTACAGTTGGAATACAATGGAGCTGGATCATCACAAGTTGTAACAAGCATTTCATGAACTGCATTTGCCGATTTTACAAATCAAACAAAAAAGTAATGAATGTCGAAAATGCAATGTGTACGTTCCATTTTAGACGCATACAAACAATGAAACTATTAATAACAATAGCGCGCAAACTGCCACATGTCATAGAAACATGTCAAATCTTTCAATATTGCCAGATTTCAACGTTCGTACTAACCATTAACTTGTTGCAAAGACTTTTTTACTAAAATTTTTTTTTATATAGAATCTATTCTGTGAGTTTGCCAATGAAGTTCAGATACATCTTATATATATATATACATTCTGTATATGAATAATCTACACGTATATTCCTTCTCTTTCTTCTTTTTGAGCAGACATAAAAGTTGAGATATAAGGCTAGTATATTGAGATATGGAATAAAAAGCAACATTCTCACTTCTCCCTCGTGAGACGGAAATCGCAAAGTCGCGTCGAAGTAATCCTCGACATCTTTCAGTAAATAAAAAGTAAAAATGTGATGGAACGCCAGCAGCATATCTCGTGTATCCAAAATATCGAAAGCATTATACCGAGCAGTTCAAAGCATCATTGTATAGCGGCACTTTTACGACGTGAACTTTGCAGAAAAATGTCTGTATTTTATCGTCCTATCGGTGGCACAGAATTACAATTGCTTTTACACAATGAGAATACGTGCAAAAAAGACTCGAAGTATTGCTCGATACGTGACGAAAACGATAACAAATTTTGAACTTCACACCTGCTGCCAGTTAAGTATAAAGATTTGCCGGTTACAACAATTTTGCAGCTTGTACGTGCGTTCGTTTCGCCCAGAAAAATTTCGAAAAGTATTGTTGAAATATTACAAATGAATTCAAAAGTTCAAAAATACGCGTGAGGAAAATTGCAAAAAGACCTTTATTGTAGTGCAGGATGCTTTTTACATCGTAATGCAACATGATATCATCTGCTAATGCACGATTTTTTATCAGACACGACATTTCTTTGACCGTCGAGATTTTGTCGATCCAAGCGCTCTTTTTCTCCTCGGTAACCTTTAGATTCGCAAATCTGATTTTTCTGACCTATTCGATGTATTCGGATGTCAGCTTGCAACTCCGGAATAATGTCAAGTTCAGAGACGAGAAAGAGAGTAGCAGAGAGGGAGAGGGAGAGGGGGAGGGGCAGGGGGAGAGGGAGAGAGAGAGAGAGTCGCGTTCCTATATTTCCAGCTTAATTTTTCTAATCGCACGAGACTGCACTCTCGCAAATGGAGCCTCGCGACGCGCCCTACAGTTTCGCGTTCGCAAATGGCCTTGTCGTGCGATTACGAGTTTATCCGCGGTAATGTGATTCTTTAAAACGCTGATGAAGAATATCTATCTGTCAGAGATAATGCTATTCGCAGAACGGAGAATCGTCTAGTTCGGGGAGCATAATGCAATTTGTTCCTCTCGACAACGACATAATCTCTCCGGACGGGAAGAAATATGGCTCTCAATAGACGAAACGTAATGTAGATTAAAGTATTAAAATATTGCGCGATACGCCGTCGCAATAAAGTTCACCGTCGGGATAGAAATTCTCTTAAGATATATAACGCTCGTTTCTTTTTATATTATTGTTATGCATCCCCACGGGCGAGGAATGAGGTTAAAAGATTTGCATTTGAAATTCAGTTATTCGTTTCTCGTGTATTTCCTCGAACTGCGCCATTATTGTTGCAAACTACGTCCCTCGAATTTTTCTCCTTCTCCGCTTCGTTTTCATGTCTTCTTCTTCCTCCACTTTTCTAATAAAATCTCGGATAATACCGAATTCCGCATCGATTCGTCTAGGCTGTCTCTTCACTAGACAATGCAGCATTGTGCAGTTTCTAATAATCCCGCAACACACGACTGTCGTACGATGCCTGGTACGCGATATCGGCGTGCGAAATGCCTCAAGTTTTGATACGAGTTTGCCTCGTAATATATGACCCGATACGTTCGCATTGTCCTAACTTTTAATTAATGCGCTGCCTTAATTCGCGAAAACATCGGTATCGAATTAGCGCGCGTTGTGCGTCGCTCACAATAGCGTTAAATAATGATCGTTAAATAAAGTAAGTGTAGCAAAGTGTAAAGAGCTGTAACGATATCGTCGATGATAATTTTAGACTTTGCGTGGAAATCGCGGTGATATCATTTTTCCTCAGTCAACACTGATTACGAGGATGACCGACATCTTTACAGTATAGAAATGTTATATGTGAATGCGATGCGATCTTGTAACGGATAAAATGGATCCGAATAATAATGATGTGGAATATTAATGATGAAAGGTTTTCATTCAAAATGTGACGAAAATGTTCACGTTGGTTTTTCATTTTCCATTAATGCGACGCCAAATAACTTGACAGATTCCAACTTTTTTTTTCAAATGAAGCTTAAAATGTGTGTTGTAAAAATGTAGAATGATTTTCTGGTTTGGAAAATGAGGTTAACTGCTTAAAAAAACAACTAACAGCATCTATTTGAAAAAAACCGAAATTACTTTCTGCACAACCCAATAGATACCGATTAGATCGTCGGCAATCGATCGACCATCTATATGATATCTTCCGGATATCCAATCCATGCATAAATATCGACTACATCGATAAAACGCCACACAAAACCACGGTATAGAAAAAATTTAACTTTTGTGACACCGAAGGATCCATAAAATTATCACCGGTTCGAACATCGACTTACGAAGTTGGGTAACGACCTCGTTATGTTCTAATGACTATGTTATGTTGTTTACGTCTCTTACCGGCGACTCTCGCCTCTTTGCACGCCTCGTACATGTCCTGCTTGATATCCGGGTTGTCGTCCGCTATAGTTTCGCCGACGGTCACGAATCTCTCGACCGCCAAATTTACCGCCTGGCCGACCCTGGCGACCGCTCGCAGACTCCGGTCCGAACATAGCGGCCGTTCTCTGTGCGAGACTAACGTGGAGATCTGCAAAGACATTGCATGTTGGTGAGCGCAAAGGTCGATCGAAGTGAAGAGACGAGGAGAGCACGCTAAAAATAAATCAGCCGTCTGTCTCTAAATCTCTACATCATACATAGCGCAATTAAAGAGCACGGTTGAGCGACGAAACGAGGGAAGTAACGAGCAGGTGAACCACACACGCTCGCAGTCACTCGAATGCAGTACCTCTAAGAGTACCTCTAAGAATGAGAAGCTATATCTTAAATGACCGCCTTGTTTAACGCTTCGGAGCGGCGTATTTTGGTTAATCAACAAATATACATACGAGTATTTCGCTGCAAAAGTTACTGTAGAATTTTATATGTGAGCGAAAAACATTGACATTCTGCCTTCATTTATTACCCCTACCCTTTCACACAAACGGGCTATTATATTTAAGAATTAAAGTTAACCATTAAGCCTCTTAATGCGGAGCAATTTGGAGCTAAACGATCGTTGAGGACGGAATATTTTATGCCGTCGTGAGGAAAACAACCTGGAAAGAACAATGAGCCGGAATAAATGAGATTTTATTTATTATTACTACCCACTAAAATTCATAAAAGGACACGAATGTAAAATTGAAAAGAATTTGTATGAAAGAACCAATATAAAATATTCTCCCGTGTGCCTCTTTTCGGGCACAGGTTACAGCCCGACGATTCATATGTCAGAGAGAAAGAATTAAAGCTCCCATCGGGATTTATCTTTCTCGTGTCTGTCGAAAAATTCCATCTCGAATGTAAACGCCCATTGCAGAAGTTGGTAACTGTTGCTCGCGTCAAGTGTCTTCGTCGAAGAAATTTGTCAGTCGCATATATGCACCTACAATCCGTAGCAATGATCGTTCTGGTCATATATAATAATAATAATAATAATAATTAGGATAATTATGATAATGACAATCTTGATAATAATATTACATCAAGTGTGTTCGTTGAAGAAATTTATCAGTCGCGTATATGCACCTATAATGACCGTTTCAACGACAGTTTCTAATCGCATATAATAATAATAACAATAATAATAATCGTAATTAAAATAATTATAATAACGATAATCTTGATAACAAAATTACTTTATTAGACGCGTTAAATTCGCCCATAATATCAAGAGAATTAAGAACACTTTATCGCATTCCCCTTATTCCCTCTACCGCAAAAGTCGATTAAACCTTAAACTGAGTTCAAATAAAATAAACTCACCTCAAATAAAGACTGAGAGTCTCAGGTTAAAGTTTAATCGACGTCGGTAGGAACAAGCATTAGCGAGATAAAGCTTACTGTCAATCTATTCCCGCGCTGCTAAACAACATCGCAACAAATTTTACAAGAGAATTCTTGTAAAAAAATAAAAAAGCTACACAAACTATCTCCTCATTTTATTTTCTCGCGGTTTTAAATCATAGCGACGAATCGGGTGTTGAATTAAAGCTCCCGACGAGATTCATCTTGCGGGTATCGAGAAAATTTCATCTCGTGATTTCATCTCGAGGAGGAAACCCGTCCCGAGAACGTCAATGTGCAATGCCACAGTGGAGCGTTGTAAAGAGGGAGAGAGAGAGAGAGAGAGAGAGAGAGAGAGAGAGAGAGAGAGAGAGAGAGAGAGAGAGAGAGAGAGAGAGGAGAGAGAGAAAGAGAGAGAGAGAGAGAGAGAGAGAGAGAGAGAGAGAGAGAAAGAGAGAGCCATCGTCTCTTTCGGCCCGTGTGTATCGCGTTTTAATTAACGTCGTGCTCCCGCCCCCCCCTCCCAGGTCACCGCTCACCGACCTCTGTCTCTCGGACCGGCCGATTTGACAATAACCTCGCGCTGCTCCGTACAAAGCGATGGTAATAATGAGTAACACCGCATCTGTTTCAACACAGTCGTCGGACATGGCTAACGACCTGCGGTGCTAATGCAGCGGCGTTGTTACACGCAGAATTGCATTGGGGCTTGCGCTAGTCCCGTTGCATTTCGCCTGACGCGCCCCGAGAGCGTCGCGCGCGCGCGCGCGCGCGCGCTCGCGAGGTAGCAGCTACACTGCATTTTCCACACAATTAGACAATGCATTCACGCGCGCGCGAGCCTCGTCTCGTCTCGTCTCGTCTCTTTCAGGACTCTGTCCGGTCTCTGTCCCACGTCGGTTCTCGCTCGAAGGTAGGAAGAGGAACGCGCGCGGCCCGCTGATGTGGAGCAAAGGGGCGGCTCGCGGCTATTGTCTCGAGAGATGAATGCGCGCGCGAGCGTACACACGTATGTACGCGTATGTATGCGTAGGCGGGCGGAGGTACGCACTCACGCGGGCACGCACGCGGGCACGCACGCACGCACACGTGCGCGTTTCCATTCAGCTCACCTGGAGCGCAGCTCGGGCTTTCATGAGCCTATGGCTCGATCGTCTTATGTAAACGAGAGCACTGTCGTATCGCGATGTATGGTTTCGCCGTGTACGCACGGCTTCATTAATGCTCGAACATTCACTAGATCGAGAATCACCAGACACTTTTGGCCGGGCGCGTTCGTTTCTACACGCATAGACATTCATCACGAGTGTGATGTAATTCTTCTGCGTCTTGCGTAGAGGCCATCGTCGCGCATAAAATGTCAGCTGCATATGCATGGTGTGAGACCGCTTCGGCCGAGGAGCGTATAGGAAAAAGTTACCGTGTTGATTTACGGGGCATAACTTTTTCTTAGATGCTCATCTCAAAACAAGTATTTGTAAAGTGACTTTTCCCATAGTCTCATATTCTAAGCGAAGTATTTTACAGAAGACGGATTCCTCTTTTTATAAAGCGATTAAAGTGAAGCATTCATCTAAAATTAGGTATTGTTATAACTATTTTTCTCTTATTTCAAAAGGATTCTCTCTATATCAATTAATTTTTCTCTTATATGAAGAGGAATATGTTGATTTGAATGTCGGCTTCTGTTGTTCAGTCATGCTCTACCTCTAGAGATGAACGAAAAAATAATCATATGCTCATGGGCCAGAATATTTAGAACGCTTCTTAAAAAAGGTATGTGTGTTGCTGTAACATATAACGAAGATAATTTACCTATATTTGGTCAAATACAGTTTATAATCTACTGCAAGAAGTTGAATAGTACACTTTTTCTTTTAACTATGTTTCATATAATTCGTTATATGATGAACATCTTTGTAGCTATGAAGTCCATAATAAAATTGATTGAAAATTGATTTGAAATTTGTTTGTTATAACGATCTTATTTCGTTCGTGTCTATTTATTGTAGAACTGGAGCCAGAAATATATATATATATATATTACTTTTCGCTATACATTACAATAATTTTTTCAGATTAACTAGTATAACCAGTAAGAATAAAATAAGAATAAATAATAATCCTCTTAAAAAAAATTAAATAATCTGTATATAAGAGGAAATTTATATTAAAATCAATAAGATTTGTATTATACATATAACATATAATCCTTCTAACTTTAAGAATAGTATGTTTATTTATATAATAATATTTTCCTCTTAATCTTAGAGGAATTCTCTTGAAGCCATATATAAGAATAAAATCCTCTAAAATTTAGATCATTCCGCTTGTTCTGAAATTACTTTTTTTTGGGTGATCGGCCAAGACGGTCTTATGTTATTCACATGCATGTTATCTTATATGTATATGCGTGTGTGAGGGAGGGATTTAGTACCGGAACAGATGAAACGGACGAAACTTATGCGAACTGAATTTCAAACTGTCAAACTATCATGGCTGTTTTTGGGACATCTTTGCCTCAGATGATCAACAACAGTCATGGTCAATGCGTGTGTAGAAATGTATGTTTGACTGAAAATGTCTAGAAATTTTCGATCTAGTGAGTGTCTGGGTATTAATGAAACTGCGTTTCGCCCTGCGCGAAGGAACAACGAACAAACACCGAACACATCAACAACAATGTTCGGACGTTCGCAATCGCGTTCGTTGTTTGTTCATTCATCTAGATTCGACGAATATTCGCGCTTAGCCAAATTCGGTGTTTGCCACTCGGGTAGAAAAATGCTGGACGAGTCATTAATCTTTGCAAGCGCCGGTTTCACGCTATATTTTAATTAGATTTCTGTTAATGCACATGAGAGCGCATCTTAGCGCGCTTTTGAATATTTTCACCAAGTTTTGCCGTCAGTCTTTTTGATTTTATTATGAAATAGATTTCTTTTTAGGCCTTCGTAATAATTTCGTAACAATTAATATTACAATAGTTTCTTCAGTCCATTTCTTCCGTTTTTATATTTTTAATCACATATTTTTAATTATATGTGCCTATACAATAAACTAATCGTACTGATTCTTGTAGCGAACAATGAGTGTGTGATAGACGCACGCCCACACTGTTCATTTTCTTTGATAAACCGACTTATGAGCGAATCGGAACGCGAACCAAACGTTCTGTTTAGGTTCGTTAAGACTTACAAAGGATCTGTCTGGGATCTTTTGGAAACGAAAAACTATGAAGATTAATCAAATCAAATTGATAAGAAAAGTCAAGTACCATTTTGCAAAAATTGCAATAGATATTAAGTTATTAATGATTGAAAATGACCACATCTAAAGGCTCTTTTAATTGATAATTTGAAAATTTGCATACTTATTTGTAAAAAGGACTCTTTTGTTCAAAATAATCTAATCTATTAGGTGTACAACTTTGCTTCCGCCGTTTTCCTATAGATGGCTTTAGCGGCAAATAGTGATCGAAATAAATAGATCATAGACGTCATGCAATAAACTTGGGCATCTGTCAACATAACCCCATAGAAACATTAGTCGATTTGTGTCTGCATCATAAAGTTATTCTTGATTGAAAATGTCAGTTTACGAGCCAAATTCTCGTCACTTGCTAGAGGTTTTAATTTTCTGCTTCAATATGAGAAGAAATCTGCGGCTGAGGCTCATCGAATGCTCTCAAATACTTATGGTGAGGCCGCTATTAGTGAAAGAACGTGTCGTGAGTGGTTTCAACGGTTCATGAACGGT